AGTATACAAATGTGCAGCTCTCGCTGTCTGGTTGCAAACTGGAATTGCAATTCATTTTTATAATAAATGTGAATGCCTCCGAAATATGCTAGTATGAGCACGAGAGTGAATAGGTGTATACATGACTAGGTTTGAGTCCTACAATTAAATAAAACAAATACAAATAAAATATACTTTACATACAGCTGAGCAGCCAGCAGGTGGCTACTGATATCATTATTGTTTCTTTCTATCAATCATTTAAACAATCATTTCTTGTACATATGGTGACAGATGTGCCATATTTGTGTTTATAGTTGCTGCTCTCCGCCGCCGGCAAATAATTCCCCTTCCTTCACCGCTTGTCATATTCTCTCCCTGGCTGAAGTGAAAGGAGCGGATTCCTGGTTGGTTGGTTTGTTGCCTGGCAAAGCTCATTCAGAGTTAAATTAGTGCTTGATCTACAATGATTAATAATAATAATAATAATAATAATAATAATAATAATAATAAAACATTTTGCGGGAGTTGCTAATTGCAGAATTTTATCTCAACTTCTATTTCACATGCAGTATCTGTTGCTATAATTTTAGCTGATGAACAGTCAGTGTGAGGCCCTGCATGACAGCCCTTTCTGTCCGCCCTTTGACATGGCCACGCATCAGCCAGGAGGACATCTTTGAAAGGATACGTTGGAGGCAGTGTCTGGTGAAAGGCAAGGAGTGGTTAGTGCAGGCTTTGCTGTTAACCTGGGCCACACACAGTCCTGAGTCTGAGCTGCCTGCAGTACTGTATAGCAAAACAGACACATCCAATGAGAAACACATTTATCTTCACTGAGGCTGAAGATGAGTCACATATTTAATGCGTGTATTATAGTATTATTAAACATTTCAAAATAACTGAGAAACTCCATAGCTTTTAATATTAAAGATTTTTGGATAAACTGCATCCATAACATGTCTTTTCTTAGTGCTCTGTAGTAGTAAAAATAGCAAACTCAACAGGAAAATGTTTATGTTACAGTTTTTGTCCACCTGCGTCATATCTTATATCCTTGAAAAGCTTGTTTTCAGGTGAATATTCATTTTAATTAGTCAATTTATTTGTCATTATGATATACATTTCAATTTTCCTTTAAAAACCTTATAAACCACCACTAACTAGAGCTGAAACAAATTAAATCCACATTACATTTTTAAATCTATTTTCTCAAAGTAAAGTTTTTCAGTATTCAGAACCAAAAATCTGTTTCTAGATGGCCTGCATTTATAACATTTTACATATTCATTCTTATGAATGAATATGTAAAATTAGAAGGATATTACTCCTAATTAAAAGGATATTACAAATGAATTTCCCCAAATGCCTTGGATTGTTTTCACACTAGATTTATGTCTGCTTAATTTATTTTTTATAAGAATGCATGGTATTTCTGTGAATAAACAAAAAAATTAATTCCAACATGCTTTTCTGTAAATGTCTTCCTCCTGACAGCGTCTTCAAAGTGAAATAAATATTTTAATTCTGACAACATCAAAAGACTTGGTTTTATCAAGTATGCAAATATATGCATATATATTTAGATGATGCACTATTTGCATAAATAAATGAAAAAATAAACATTTAAGTTACAGTGCAAACCACCTGGCCAAAATTGATTGTGATATCTACTTCAAAAAACAAAAAAATCTTATTCACCTGTAGTGTCTTGAATTAATAAATAGGACACATTTACATATTAAACCGTGAAGTCATGGAGTGCTCGTGGCTGTGTATTTACCTCGAGGTTGCTGAAATTTCAGGATGACGCTGCTGAATTAATTGAGCAGTGTGATCAGGGTCGTGTGTGGCCGCCTGAAGCAAAGCTTTGCGGAGAGTGTGCTGGGACTTCCTCTCTCTCCTGAAGCCTCTTTCCTCCCTATGCATTTGTCTGTATCTTTGCCTCAAATAGCCGCAAAGCCCCGCCAGCCGTTCCCCACGGGAACCAGAACCAATACAACTGTTGTACAGAATAAACACAGATTAGATACAGATTAGCATATCTCAGAGGCTGTTTAAATAAAACAAACAAGCTGTTTAAATGTCATTTTTTAACCTTAATATGTCAAAAACTCCTTACACTTATGAGATATTGATTTTTCCCTGCTCACGATTTACGATTTTAAAAATGATTTAACCATCTAGAAACGATAGCCTAGAGGAAAAAAAAAGGAAAACGAGCATTTCCACCATTTCAGGTTTATGAAGAGAAGGGGAGGGTGTAGTAATATTACCAGCTGTGCAGTCTGGGAACTGCTTGCTGGCAGTGGCAATCGCAAAAACTCAGATGGATGGTGGATTTTTAGGCGTTTCAACATTACATATTCATTACATACATATTCCCCATTTACCATGAGAGAAAGCAAGAGTGTTAGTGCATCTTTCAAGCAGGAGTGATTACTAATGTGAGATGACGGAAAGGGGGCGGGCCTTCCAGGTGGTGTCAGTTAATATCGGAGAATTTAAAAAACTTGTGCAAATTATTCCAGATTAATATGCTAGTTGGCTCATCTCCTATTTTATTCCATATTCCATTAGTGATACCTCATACTGGAGTACTCCAATGTTAGATTTCTGTGCTCCAACAAAATGCATAAAGGCTAGCAGGGTTGGTAATATAATATAATCAGAGTAAACATCACATACATTGTTATATTGCACAAGTCTATCAAGCTTCATACAAAAATATAGAAAATGGTGATTTCCTTGACTGGACTAAAATCATTGCCACTGTGTCTGCACTTTGGTTCAATATGTTTTGACACCACAATGGTTCCTTTGCCTCTGCATATCAGACATTTGACTGCCTATCTATAAGAATGGCTGGTATAAATAGCCGTCCTCCCATTCCCTTCATCAGTATAAGGTTTTCATAAACATAAGGTTTCATTTTTGGCATCTACTTCACATTATTTGCCATTAACAAATGTCTTAAGGTGGATTATTTTGGACATTTTATGGAAACAAGTGCAACAGCGCCACCAGTGGTCATACGGAAATTACACAGAATGGTATGAAGAAGTGAGGCTGGGGCTGATTTCTTTCTAGCCCAGACTGTAGCCTCTTCATGCAGCCTATCAGTGACAAGTCATGTCAGGTGAAACGCTCACTAGATTTCATGCACATTTGGGCAGATATTTTTTTTCAGCCCACTTTGCTGACACAGCTGTAGCACGTCATTAGCAGTGATTGAGAAGGTGCATGTGAAATACAGTCATGGTGCAATGAACACCCAAAATTTCTTTCGAGGAGAAACTAAAAGTAAATCTTACTAAGTAAAAGTACTATCTGTCTTTAATTGTATATTTGTGTGAGTGTGAGTTTTGATAGACCTTGATGTAATGCACTGATCCGCCCTAATAGCTTCATTATTGAGCTATTGATATTAGATTTTAGCCCTCCCATCGAATACCATGTTCAGCCCTCACTGCCTCATCTAAAGTAAAATTTCTACTCTACCACACACCTTTTGTCCTGTGGGCTCTGATACTTAGACAATGTCATGTTCTCCACAGGACCCTCTTCCTCCTCTCCGCTGTCCTCAGACCAGTCCAGCTCTGCAATAGAAACAGTTAGTAAAGCTTAAAGGCTACTTAAGTCATTTACTGCAGAGTACAAATCAGTAGTTACACACCGAAATGAGGCCTCAGATCTTCATGCTTTCTTCTCTGTTGCTCCATCAGCCTGTGAAGCTGCAGCAAACATGGAGCCTGATGTTGTACTGGTGCTCTCGGATCCTTTGCTGTGCCCATACGAATGCCTGCGCTGCTTAGAGATGGAGATACATCTTTCTTGGCGAGAACAAGCTCTGGATGTATCTCTGGCTTGGGATTGGTGGTGGTCAAGGTGTGATGACCAGCCTGAGCAGAAGCTTTTGTGCATATTGGCCCTGATTTAGGTTTTGGATGTTGTGAGATGGATATAAGAGGGGATTTGGATACTAAAGGAGCTTGGGGAGGTCCTACAGCCTGTTGAGAAAGAAGAGAGATGGAATGTGGGGAGATGGCTGGGGCCACAGCGTGATCTTTATGTTTCTGTTTAGGATTAAATGAGCGGTTTGTGACTTTCTTCCCCAAGTTAGGGCCTTCTTTCTTCACCTTATCAACCTTGAAGAAGGCATAGGGGTCCAACGGGAGCAGGCGAGTAAGTGAGGAGGGTGAAGATGGGAGTAAGTGGTCCAGGTCATTAGGAGCTTTCAGAGCCAGAGAGGGCACAGTGATGTTGAGGGCCAGAGATTCAAGAGTGTCTTGCTTCTTCTTTCTCTCTTTCTTTGGCAAAACACCCATAACTTGCAGGTGACTGCTGCAAAATCTGATTTTAAAAAAATGAATGTAAGTATAATTAAAAATACATGTGCATTTAATACATTTATATAATATGTAACACAGACTTACGTGCGGTCTTGGGTCTTGGGGATGGGGTTGGTGCAGCGTTGGCTGTTGTACTTGGCTACATATTCACACTGCCTGAAAGGGGCACTCCGGTCCTCCAAAACATGCCGGATGCAGAAAGCGTAGCCGTTAAGCCGGCGCTGTTTGCAGAGCTTTGGGCTGTATGAACACAGAGGCTTGTGGTCCACCTCCGAATAGTGAATGTGTTTCCCTTCATACATCCCAGGGCTGAAACGCTCTGAAACATCAGCTGGCAGAAAAATATCTGGTTAGAAATTTTCATGTAAAGCACATGAGCATTCTGTTTTCACATAAGGACTATACAGTAGGGAATACACTTTCAGAACAAGGGGTACTAAACAGTGCCCTTAGTATCTTGAGGGCATGAAATGCATGTAAAGTATTACTCTAATTAAAAACTAAATAAAGGTCCAATTATGTTGTTATTGTTCTTCTTGTTTTGACAGCAGATCATTGGTCCGCATGTTTGATTTGGCACAGTTTTTATGCCAGATGCCCTTCGTGATGCAACCCTCCCCAATTTTATCCGGGCTTGGGACCGGCACTGGAAGTGCACTGTCTTGTGCAACCCCAGTGGCTGGGAATCGAACCCTGGCCGTGGCTGTGAGAGTGCCGAGGCCTAACCACTAGTTCTCTAGGGACTTAAAGGTCCAATTATGTACCATAAGTCATTTTTAAAAGGTACAATAATACACATTACCATGTAAAAATACACACTAATGATGGTACCACTCCAGTGACCAGGAAAGGTACAATTTACTACTTCACTTCTCAGAGTGTATAGTCTTTATTATAAAAGTACTAATTATCACAACTATTTGAGGAAGCTACCTCTATTAATAGGAAGTCAAATAACCAGAGCTGAACTCTCAGAACTCTTGTCCACTTTGGATAAAAATGTATGAGACATCCTGCAAAAAATTTTAATTGGGTCTTAATAATCTTCACTAATCTTCATGATTTATTTCCATATCACACTGTTTCCAATTATAAGACTCAGGGTAAGTGTCTTTTTAATCTGAATAATAATTAATCAGACATCAGCCACACCCACACCAGGTTGTGTGTGTGTGTGTGAGAGAGAGAGAGAGAGAGATAATCCTAGTCACTTTTGTGTATCTAATTAAAGACTAATAAACACTGATAAGTTGCATGTGTGCCTGCATTTAGAGTATATGCATATGCCTAGGGTTAAAAATAATAATAATAATAATAAGGTGTATTTTTCCAGTGTGTAGTTATAATTGTATAATTATCAAGATGGGTATATCATGTGAAATGAGAATGAAAAGCAGGATGCAATGCTAAAAGCATGAGTTTAAAAAAAAGAAAAGGATTCTCTGAAATGATATTAGTGATCATTGAGGTTCTGTTTAAAGCTACATGTTTTAATCACTTGGTCAAGCAGGTGCTTTAAGCAGATGAAGGGCTAAATCCTAAAATGTTAAAAGAGTAGAGTGTTCGGTAGGTTTAACATGCAAAGCGTGTTTAACGTGCAAGGGGATGGTGGCCACAACTTCCCGCCTCCTGCTCTATCTCACACTTGGGTCGCGTTATCAGTTACTTAAGAGGCCAGGATTAGAAGAGACGCTTAAAGTAGCGCGCGCGGTCACCGTTTGATCATTTAGCTGCGGATGAAAGACGGAAAACGAGCCTGAGAGGAAACGAGCTGATTAGCTAGCTAGCTGGAGTTGGATGGATATAAACACAAAAACATTATGTTAACAAATTATATTGATAGAACACTAATTTTCTCTGGTATATGCTCTGGTATAAGACGTGAGGTGTTTTTTTAATGCGCAAAAATGGTGTCGTGAAACAAACAAAAAAAATTCTTGCCGTTTAAAAATCTCAAACGCAAGACTTTAATTAGGACACAAACATTTTTTTGTCATGTTTATCAAACCAGCCGAGTTTTTCTTCCTGTATGTTTCCCTTTTAATTGTTTGTTAAAGCGAAATTAGTAGTTACCGTAGGCCTACGGAATCCTCCCGAGTCGCGTAGCAAGCAACCCGCTCCACCTCGCACTCGCGCGGCCTTCCTACTCACTCCGACTCCGGTGCTGCGCCAGCTGCTCGCTTCCGGTTTTAGCTTAGCCCGCTAGAGTTAGCGTTAGCCGGACAAGGCTCGCTTTTTCACCCACTATCGACGGCTATTACGGATGACCGGCTTAATCCCGAGGCGTATTCTCCGCGTATATCCGGCGTTGGTCCTGATTTCGGTCTCGCACGCACCTTTGGGCGAAAGTCGCGCGCGTTTAGATGTCGGTTATTTTGATTAAAAGTGCGCGTATACATGGAGCACAGGGTGTTGGTTTGGTCGCCGGATCGAGGCTTCTTACAGCACTACTACAGGCACCGGGGGGACATGACAACAGGCGACAGTGCAACAACAACCTCCGCAACCATTTTGGAATTCAACTTTATGTGTTCGGCTTTATTGTGAAGCCACTTCGTTTCTCAGAGCTGAAACCTGAATGAAGAGTTCAGTGTGATGGTGTTACAAAGTGCACACGTGTTAACTTTTGCTCCATTTGACTTCCCTTGTCATTGATTTCAAACTTGAACAGGATCTCCCTCAAGTCTTCCCCAGCAGCCTCATCACCACACGTCTCATTCAAGCTTCACGTGAAATCCTGAACTTGACTTTCAAGGCAATGCGACACAAATCTCACGTAACCATGGCAACACTGTCCCATAATAACTACCATAATAATAGTATACCATGCAGAGAATAAAGATGAAAGATGTCGAAATCATTAAAGCAAGTACATGCTTCAACATAGAAGGAAAGTGTAAGAGAGGATGCCCCCTATCAACCTCAACATAACGTCATTTTTACAGAATTAAGTGCTACAGTTAATACATACTTATCTTTCTGCAGTGTGACCACAAATAAAACAAAAATAAAAAAAAGTTAAGTCATGTCTAAAATATTAAGTAGAGATCTGAATGCTCCTACACATCAGTAGAGGCTGAAAGACAAAACTGAATAAATTTAACACAAACCACCTCATAGTTTCTCCTGCACATTAACTCTGATACAGTTTAAATTCATGTAGTGCTTTTGCCAGTGCAGATAACGTACATGAGAACAAATGTACATCATACAACTTTATTCATTATGAGCTTTAGATAACAAAGCAGTTCTCCCTCGATCTCAGTGTGGGAACGAAATGTGTACAACATTCTTGTTAGCGTATTTAAATAAAAGCAAGATTTCTCAGCTGTAGCCGTGGGCTGGATCAAACATTAAATTCGTTCAGTTTTAACACATGGTAATGGACAGGGATGTGTGTGTTTTAGCAGATAGCAGGCTCCTCTACTGCTGCTGCGCCCTCCGTCACTGCCTTTACACACTTAGCCATTGTCTGGGAGGCCCTGCTGATGGAGTCTGTGAAGAAAAAAAAAAAAATACAATAGTATTTGACAGATTTTAGTTTAAGCACAGTGCTGTTAAGGTAAACTGATGAATTATGAATTATAATGCACACTGACATAACATCACACAAAGCCCTGGTCACTATCAAACCAAGTTTACACTGAAATATAGAAAATGAGTGTCATTCGTTACCTGTCATGTAGAAATCTTTCACTGAAAGCTGAGGAGGAACAAGAGGTTCTGCAAGCAGGGACTGATTCACAGCCTGGGAAGAGAGAAGATATATAATCTAAATACCTGCCAATGATGATGACAAGGGCAAAGGTACACAAATCAGTAGACTGAGATATTATTATCATTATTATTATTATTATTTTTTAATTGATAGTTGCCTGGTGGACGAGTAAGCTCCGTAGGCTAGTGGTCACCAGCATTTTTTTTGTTCTCTCATTCAGCAACCAGAGAAAGAAAAAAAATCCCCACCGTTGACTTTTTCAGAATAAAAGTTATTTGTTAAGTTTATTTAAGCAACATGCGGTTCACAGTGGTGCGACGCGATTTGGTGCTGTAACTATAGCACACGCTACTTGTTCTGTATCCCACCACGCTGCACTATGCCCAACTAGTAAGATTAATCAAGCTTTCATGAATGACATCTAAACGTGTCTAAATCAGGAACACGTATGAAACTGAGCACAATAACGTGCCGCTAGACGTCAAACTCAAATAGTATATTTTATGGGTGAAGAGAAACACCTCAGCTCATAGCTAACGACTTGCTCATTTATTTATTCTTGTCGAGGGTACAAACACAATGCACTGCCTCAGACAGCTTCTTAGAAAAAGATGACTATGCTTGAGTCTTCCCCTACACAGGAATTTATATACTTATTTGTGTCTGTGTTAGTGCATCTAACTATGTAACGAGTTTGCCATACTTTATTACATTGCTTGTTACGCTACCATTTTTTGGCCCCCCATCAGTTAGACTTCTGGGCATCCAAAACATGTGCAGCACATTAGAGTTTTCACTTGCCCAGTGGGCTAGCAAATTGATTTTATGGCTGGTCCACCCCTGAAGGGAAGAGCACACTTTACAGTTTTCTCACAATTTAGTCATTGCCAATGACCACCTACAAACACCATCAAAAAAAGATTGTTCATATATTCAAAGACACCAACCTTAGCAAGCTCAGTAGCCTGTTTGAAGTAGTTTGCTTCCTCTACGTCATCGTAACGCACCAGGTTGGGGGCCACCTCTGCCAGTCTGTTCCTCACCTCGTCTAATGTCTCGTAGGGCAGAGTGACTCCAGCCACCTAGCACACACAAAACAGATGATACAAACTGGAAAAAAAATCCGAACCAGACAAATAACCCTGAGGGAAAGAACACTATAAATTAAACTTATTTTTTAAAAACAGCATGAAATCATGATTCGGTTACAGTGAGAAAGCAATTAGACTATGGTTCACTTCCTGTAGTTGGGTTGATTCAAACATATAGTGTATTTTGGGTTGTCTGCAGCATTTTATTTATTTTTTTTGTAAAAGTGAGCTGCTAAACTGAGCCACAAGGCACAGACTGAGCCAAAGGGCAGAGCAGTAGAACCATGTGTTCTGAATATTTGGAATGATGAATAGAAAAACTCAAGATGTGATACACAACATTTTTTTAAATAGTTATTTATTCAGTCTAGTAATTTATCGAGGGCCAGCTCCGTGTTCTCTAATTTTTGTGATTTCTACATGCACTTGGCAAAGCTTTGTTTCCTTTTTTTTCCCGCATTGCCATATTTCTCTCAGTTTACCTTTTTTTTTTTTGCTTTTTAGGTTGTTTAATTACATGCAGTGTGAAACTAAGCCAAATAAAATAGCAAACAAACCAAAAGTATCTACTTCACTCTGGTTCAGACTCTGCAAACAAACTAATAAGTACACACTTGTATTAAATCATGTGCATGTGTGTACACACACACACCTCAGAGATGGCTCGGAGGATCTTCCAGTCATCGCGAGCCATACCAGGTGGGGTGACTGCCACTCTGGTTTGCTGGGCGCGCCCCTCTGTATTTACATATGTGCCATTCCTCTCTGTGTATGCTGCACCAGGCAGGATGACGTCAGCCATGGGGGCTCCCACGTCACCGTGGTGACCTGCATTAGGAGAGAGGTGATGGTTGTGGGATGCTCATTACCCTGGGAATGCAATTAATGTAAAGTACACAGAAACTGTATACTGTACTCAATTATCACACTTAT